GATCATTAGTTAGACCCAATATATTTTCCTTATAATAATAATATCCTCTATATTTTTGATCAGAATCAAATGGGTCAAAGTGATCAAAGGAGTGAAATCCATCCAGATCCAGTGAGAATCTATTAAAAGAAGAGATTAAAGGCATGGTGTGATAAACAATCAGACACAGCAGCAGGAAGGAAGGAAGGGTTCTCTGTGCACGTGAACGTGGTGGAAAATATCAGAACCAGCCTTCACAGAGAACCTGCTGATGGAAGTTCATGCAGAATTTGTTCACACGATGCAAACAAACACGTGCACGCTCCTGCTCCATCAGCTGTGCTCGTGCATGTGCGTGCACTCAGTCGTGGAGGAGCAGTGAGCGCTGAATGAACTCCCTCTTCACCTCATGAAGTCTTTTCTGCAACTCATCATTTTACAGAGGAGCAGGTGCAGATGTTTTACAGAGGAGCAGAGTTGAGACACAAAGCAAAGACGGAGACAAACGAGTCCTTCATGTTCCTTCATGACCACATCCTCCTCTCAACAAGAAAGAGGAACTTCTTACGCTCCGTCTAAACGCTCCATGAGGAGCTGCTGGGCTGGAAGACTCCCAGTAGCTGATGTGGGCCTGAGCTACTGGTCTGCTTTAAGGTTGAGAAGCAGCAGCTTCAGATGAATGTCCACGTCCACAAACACCGGCTGTTAGAAACAGTCTGATGCTTCAAAACACCTCAAAGAGACACAAGTTCACACTTTTTACTTTTCTCTCAGTGTTTTTCTTCTGTTTCCATCTTTCTCTGTGTTTTCTCCTCATGTAGTCGCTCCTGCTCCTCCCACTCTCACCTGCTCCTCATCGTCTCTCCCCAGGTGTTAGTGTCCCTTTAAATAATGTCTCATTTTGTTTGTCCCTCATCCGTGGATTGTGCTTCCTGCAGCCGTTCATGTTGTGTCCCTCCGTGTCTTCCTGAGCTCTTCTTCTTCTTCTAAGTTCTGCTGCCACGTCAGCTTTTTGTTTGGATCAGATCAATCTATTTTCTTCTTGGACCTCTGAGTTCCCCGTGTCTGTCTGCACCCCGGCTTCAAACGTCCACACAACATGATCCAGGCGCTAAATGAAGTTCATTCATTGATGAAGTTTAAAAGATAAAAAGCCTCAACTTTCACAGATGGTTCCAAACTGTGCTGAACTGTGCCGTCCTGTGCCAAACAGCAGAACTCCGAGCTATTTCTTCACTAAAACATCTGGAAGTTGCTCTAGTTGATTTCAGCAGCAGGAATCTTTGCACGGGTAATGTCCACATGTGGATTTGTGCTTTCCAAGAGTTTGAACCTTCTTCATCATATTTTCAAAGGAGTTATTTACTCTGTAAATCAAATAAAGTTCAGGCGAGGGAATAAAAACTCCTTTTTTTCTCTGTTCATCCTCATTTTCTGTGAAACATCAGCAACTGTTGTGATGCTCACACTTCTGATGAACTCTCCCAGATGTTCTCTTCATGTTCACACCAACATCATTGAAGCAGAGTTTGTAGTTGCTGAGAAACTCTCCATCTTATTTGTGCACGTTGTTTTCCAGCAGGGACTTCATGGAAACCCCTCGGGGTTTAAGAGGCTGCGGTTGTGGTAAATAATCTCACTGCTAATCTAATTTAATCTGTCTCACAGCAAACACACTGAACCTGTTGAACAGAAAGGAGAGAAAACAGCTGAAGAAAACACTCAGCAGCTAAAGTTCAGCTCTGCTGTGGCTAACGTTAGCATGCTGGTTAGCTTTGGATGAGTTCAGCACAAACTGGGAGAAGTTCTGTTCTGAAGCTGGAGGACTTTTCAGAACCACAAGAGGTTCTTCCTGTGGATCAAACGTGCTGAGATCCAGCAGGAGGTTCAGGGAGTCTGAAGAGGATCCAGCTGCAGATCTTCCTCCTCACACTGAACTTCTGTCACTTTGAACCCACTTTAAAGATTCTGTTGGTCCAAAGAACTTGACTTTGATCTGAGTCACATGACATCTGTCATAAAGTGCACATTTTACAACACACTGATAATTACATTTAATGAGCTATAAAGTCCAATCATTTAAAGAAAACTTTGAATTTACTTCATGTTTGTGAAATCTTTAGTTTGTTTTGTGTTTTGTCATTTAATCCAACTATCAGACGACTTTATTAGTTCCAACGGTCAATTTGTTCTGACCCACTCAATGCAGGAACTCTCACACCACATACTCCAAAGTCTCACGGCCCAGATGTGGTTTTCCAGAGGTGGTCCATGTGTGGGCCAGCATCCGGCCAGCTGCAGATCCATTGGTGGCCCTGAGCTGGACCAGAACAGTCCCAGCAGCAGCACCAGATGTCACCATCATGTTTCCTTCATCTAGCAGTTGAAAGAGGTGTACTGGACTCAGACCAGTTGAAGGAGGTGCACTGGACTCAGACCAGTTAAAGAAGGTGTACTGGACTCAGACCAGTTGAAGGAGGCAACACTGTTGTACAAATGCCATTTATTTTCAATGACACAACTGATTGTCAATCTATAATCAATGAAGAAAATGTTCACAGAAACAGAAATAATTCATAAGGAACAAAAGAAGCAACAATGTTTCATCATAAATGGCTCCTGCAAACTTCTCCTTCACTTGCATTTACTTTACTTACTCCTTTAGATGCAAACAGCCACAGAATGCTGTGTGTGTCAGCATGTAGAGTGACAGTGAGAGTGATGAGAAGTTTCTAGAACAGTGGCTGCATGAGATGCTATAAATCCTTTGAGCTCAGAGTTTCAGGAGGCAGTGATTCACTTTGGTCTCCAACATCCTGACAAGAAACAATGACTGAGTCCACACTGAACAACAAACCAACACACGAGTTGTTCTGCAGCACAAAGCAGCAGCAACATCCTCATCTTCTCACCTATAAACATTCTGGACACTCGTTCAACATCTGGAAACAGGAGGCGGAGTCAGGAGCCTACCAGAGACGGGGGCGGGGCTTAACGAGTGCTGAGACTGGCTGCAGGACAGAAATGTGACCTCAGCGTTTTGGTTTGTTTTCTAAACTTACATGGTTTATTCTTTATTCAGATTGTGGAGGTGCAGTTTGTCAGAGATCAGCTGTTCTTCTCTGAGCTCAGCTCTGAAGTCCAACCCCTCCCATCTGAGAGAACTAACCTGAGTGGGAACAAGCTGCAGGATTCAGGAGTGAAGCAGCTGTGTGGTTTTCTGGAGAGTCCACGATGTAGACTGGAGACTCTGAGGTCAGGCATGTTTATCACCCGCTGATGGAGGAGGAGGGACAATGTTGTTGATGTGTGTGTGTGTGTGAGGGGGGGGGGGGG